TTTAAAGTTTATATTTTATACTCCTCTTAATGTGGGGTAATTCAGTCAATGTAATATTTTTGGATGGTAGGAAAGTTCAAACATGAAAATTCCATTTGGACTGTCTGTGCTGCATTTCAGAAGTCTCTACGGGTATTTAATCATTCAGAATAAGAAAGGTTTCTTTAATTTTTAAACATGTATTTCATTTTATGTTTTATTTAAATTGTTTTAACATTTACATAGAACCCCTTGAAGGCTTGAAAACTTGAAATTTACGTTCCATTAAAAAAAAAAAAAATTATGAAGCATAGTGTGTGTGGAGATATATTAGAAGAAGAAAAGGTACTGTTTGAGTATGAAGATATTCTGATTATTACAAAATATGACTTGCAAAAATTATTAATTTATGTAATGATTATTGGTTTTAAAGGAACTAGAAACCAGAGTCGCAAAGAAGTTTTGTGGTGATGCTCCTTCCCACAATAGTATGAATATTTAAAGAAGTAATATATATGAGTAACTCCAAGTTGCAAAAGTGTAGTTGATTACTGCTTATGAGATGGGGGAATTAAAACCATGAGGATAGTTTCTTTCCCCATATGTTAAGACATGGATGTTCTTAGCCCGTATTTCCTGAGTAATTCTAAGAAAGCTGGATTTGTGCTGCTGCTGCCAACTGTTGGCAAAATTAATTAAGATAGCCAAGTCTGAACGCTGCAGTCGTGGGAAGGAACATCACCTGCTTCATGGTGAAAAGTTGTACAGGTCAGCATGGTCTAGTAGGGACCAGGACAAAGAGGAGAGATGAGGAGCATTGGGAGTAGAAAGTTCAAATTGTACCTGAAAACCTAAAGAAAAAGCATGTCTTATATTAAGTCTTTAAACTGTGATTCCACTCAGAAAAATGACTGGAAAAGTGTTTTCTCATAGCTACTGATGGCGTGTTCCAGGAACACTCATTTTGGCCATGGTGGTTCTGTCAGGTTTTACTGGCAGTCCCTTGAGGTTGATGGCAGGTATATGTATAATCACCTGTACAGGGGCTTATGAAACCACATTAACCTTCATTGTTTAACAAACTATACTAAAAAGGTATTTATTTACTTCTGACTTAAATGTGCTAGTGACAGTTTATATGCTGCAGTTCTGAGGGAGTGTACCAGCAAAATGCTAATCTGCCTGTGTTTTGTCAGGTATTTCCTTTGTAGTCCTGGTTTCTTCAGCTGTTGAGCAAGGACTTTACTATTACCATGGTATGCATTTTCCCAGTCTGGTAAAGAAAGATGAAAATTTTAACTAAAGCAGTTAACTCTCATGATTGATTATTGAAATCTGCCTATTGACAGCAATACACTGTATTCTCAACCTAGAGTTTACTAAATATTTGTTACTAAACAATGTAGTTTAATTCATGTTATAAGAATGCGAAGTTACTTCACATATCTTGGGTGGAAAATTAGATGTGGGATCTTCATCCTGTTAACTTGCTTTTTGTCTTTCCTCTGTTGTGGCATTTTCTGGCTGGTAGGAACCTCAGGCTGAACCCTATGTGGTTTCTCTGTGATCATTCCTTTCTTGCAGGTTTGGGATATATGTTGGCTTGTTTTTCACCTTCTCGAGTCCAAAATGGTATGGTAATCTAATGTGATGAAATTCACTGCGGGAACTGGCAAAAATTTATTTTCTATCTGGTTTGAGAGTGGAAAATTTTTGGGAAGCTTGCATAGAAATTATGCAACAATTAATTTTACATTTTCAGTGTAACCATTTGCTTGTTAAGAGGAGTTCTTCAGCAGATGTTAGTAGCCCCATTCAGTGGCCTTTGGAAGGAATTCTTTGGCTTTGCCACAGTATAGAAGTAAGCACAAGCGTGACTGTGTGTAAGCTTACACCTGAAATGAAAGGTGCAAGGTACATAATAGACAGTGGTTCTATATGTAAATACACAACATCTCAGAAGATGCTTTCCTCAGCTCCAAACGTTTCTCTCTATAGACCAGCATGCATTAGCAGTGGGTTTTTATTTTAAACTTTGCTACATGTGCAAAATGTTGTTGACTGATTGTTCAAGTTAGTTGTTACTTCTGTATATTTTTAAGGAAAATACCCAGTATCAGATATTTGGTGTTGCTGTATTTGCATGTCTGTGGTATCATTTGTCTTTATCTTCAGTCATTAAAATGTCTTGGTGTAATTCAAATTCACAGTATGTTCAGAGAGCCATAATTTGAAATGATCATTTTATTGCATCATTTACTGTGGGGAGGGGGGAAATTAATTTGAGAGTTTCACTTTAAAAATAAATTTGCAAACTTTACCTCTTTATATAGAGAAACCTTTTATTCAAAACCAGTTTATGCCTGTTTAGACAGAGGTGTCATTCGACTTTTAAACCTGGATGTTTGTTTTAAGAGTTTACATGCTATTTCTCTTTGGTGAACTAAACTTTCACACATAAATAGTTAAAACCAGCCCCAGCGTTCCAGCTTTTTCTAAGATTTTTTTTTTTGAATAACAGCTGCTTAATAAGAATTTTCTTCACTTCTTCCCCGCCTACATTAAAAGTACCTTTTCTGTCACACAGCCTGTGTAGTTTTCCCATAGGGACATATAATGGAGTTCATCAAAGTGAAAAAAGTGAGTCACACAGTCATTTATTTACTCATGTAAGACAATAATGGTGTTGATAGTTACCAGGGTATGCTTTTATTTCTTTAGATTGTGGAAAAGCTGTGAGTTAAAAAGTCCTTGCAGGCTAGACTCAAGTGAAAAGGAAATTGTCTTTGCTAAATGGTGGCTACTGTCTCGTTTAAGGCTGTTTGTTGCCTTTTAGCAACAATAAGCAGGAAAGTTGTTGCTCTACACTTGCTAGAATATTTAATTATGTAAATTATGAAAAGGAAGTCCCGTTTTCATAGGATAGAGAGTCAAAGGATGTTCACTGTTATTTTCTTATGATTAAATATGTTTAGATTCTAAAATTATCTGTCCAGTTTCATGGGCACAGGTTATCTAATATTTTAAATAAGTGCTTTTCCAGATCTCTCCCATGTTTTGCAAATACAGCTTTCTCACTATTCCTGCATGACAATTTCAAGATTCTGACTGTCCCACTTAACACTGTTGCGTATGTAAGGTTTTATGTATATGTGCTAGACTGATGATTATGTTTCACGTATAGGAAACATATTCCCTGTCTGCTCTGTTTTCCTTTCCAGCCTTGTGGGACTGGAGTTTCAAGAGTTAGTGGCACTGGGCTAACTAACAACAGAAGGCCTTTGCATGGGTGCTGTAACTTGGAATCACTCTGAATTGTAGCCTGGCTCTGATGGGTTTATCAGAGAAGAGAGGATTCCTGGCAGTGGTTATCATCTCGTAGGAGTGCTTTGTGTTGTTTTAATAACTTGTTTGCCTTAGCCTACTCTCCTAATGGGAGTACCATGAGGAGTCCAGTCAAATAGAGGAGCCCTGCATTCCTCAATTATCTTTGAAGCTTCTTCCTATCTGTGCTGTAGGTATTCTCCATAATGAGCTGTCAGTTGCCCACTTGGGGATCTGTAGTGCATATATGGGCTCCCTTCTAGCCAACATGTCTGGGTTTCCTTCCCATGGACGGTGTGCACCAAAACCACTGTGGTTTGGGCTTATGTCAAATGCCAGAAGCTGTGAAATGTTCCTGCATGCCAGAGTCAGATACAGCCCAGTCTTCTAAAGGAAAGGAGAACAAAAGGGAGCATTTTGCTACATCATCTGGTTGATCTTAGGGAGAATTTAGGACACAGGCAGGGCAATCCTGTATGCAGAAATTTGATGATGAAACAAATTAATTCCCTTTGTCATGTGGGAAGATCAGTTTCTTTCTTAGATAAATCTGAAATCAAAGCTTATATTGTTCTAATGTTAATGCTTTTGTTAACTTCCACGTTTGGTAGATTTTTTTCTGTGATCGAAAGTGGTATGTCTGACATCAGAAAACATTGTTGCTTTGAAACTTTTGTGTAGAAGTTAATTCTACATGTGATGGGCATAGAAATCTTCATGAAAATCTCTACAGAAGATGTAAACAAAATGCAATACAGGTTTTACTTACCCTTGGTATTCCTTTCATTTCAGCTACTGCACACCTTGCTGTCTTTTCCCAACTCCAGTCAACTGTGTAATGCTGCATAGTAAAATACAAGATTAAAAATGGAAATGTAATTATTTTGAGTTAACTTTCTGTATCCATAGCCATGCAACTTGGGCTTATTTTGTGAGATGTATAACCACACTTCTATCTGACTAGTGTAAGTGAGAAGCAAAGATGGTCAGCATCAAGTATTCATCCCAAGCATGAGATTGCTCATAATCCGTTTTCCACAGTCTTTAGTGACTGGACCTAGTGTCTAATTTCTAGACGCTGGGTGCATACCCTTTAGCTGCCCTTAAAAAGTCACAATCAGAGACACTGCTTCCCTTGTTAAATTTGCCAGTGATTAGAGTTCACTTGTGTGAAAAGGCTTGTGTCTGCCTTTATTAGTGCCTTATTTGTCTTCAGAGTTTAATTTAATATCTCCCTGGGTGAGCAACAGCATGGGAGGTAATCAGAAGTTTGATATCGTGGCTTTAGGGAGTGCATTTTGTTTCCTTAATTGGTCTACATTCCACCTGCACAGAATCTGACTTAAGGTATCCAAAGATTTTTACAAGGTAAGCATCCTTGAAAGTCAAGCCTAGAATTTTTGTCATGTCATTTGTGCTATATTTATTTATATATGGTATACACAATCCATTTTGACTGTGTATTTAATACTTCGCTTTTTCCCCACATCTTCCATCTGAGACATCATTTGTTTCCATTTTTAAACAAATATTTTTCAGTAGTATTTGTTATCTGATTCAAAGGAAAAATAAAAAACAAAACACCAAGACATTTCTAGATTTTTAAATGTCCAGCTATTTGGACTTGCCATTTTCAACAGAACTGTTTCAACAGTAAATAATCAGAAAGTAAGTAAAGAATTTTTGCTTCTTCTCAGCAAACTGCATTCAGAGGATGAGAAGAACGCCTCCGCTGGATGAACTGCAGCCGCCTCCATACCAGGATGATAGCGGTTCTCCTCACCTTTCATGTACGCCTTCTGAAGTCGGAGACAGTAAATGTGAATTTTCCCAGTGTAGCAACAGTCCAAGATGTTCATATAAGTGTCCAAGCGAGGGAAGCACAGGACATGAAATAGAAAGCTTTCATAACAAAGGATATGAAGAGGATGTACCGAGTGATAGCACAGCTGTCCTTAGTCCAGAGGTAAATGAAAACAGTCGAATGTTCTGAAGTGTCATGCAGTGCAACCTTTTGAGAGGTTTTTTTCCTTAAAGATCAGTGTACAGACATATGAACACTAGTGTGGTAGATCGTTTATTTTAAAAAAAGTTACTTTGTTGGAAAATACTACAATACGATTTCAGATTGTTTTTATAGTTATCTTTGTGGCACCTCAACTTTCAAACAAGATGCCAGTAAAAGTGGGTGTTTTTTGTTTTTGTTTTTTTTTTAAACATGTCAGAAAACTTCATCACACTGTAAGGACTGTAGTCTAAATTCTTTTTCTTCCACATAATTTAAAAAAAAAAAAAAATCTGTTAACACTTTTCAAACGGAACACCCCATAATCTACAAGGTCTTATGAAAAATCTTTTTTTTTTTGATAATTTTTTTTTTGGTAGCATAGAGGTTTGTTCCATTTAATTTTAATTTCCTTTTCTTCTATAAACTGTAGTGATACCTATTTTTACTATGAAGAAATCTTTCCTGACTTATATTTCCTTCAGATGTCTTTTAACAACGTGTTATTGCACTGACATCTCTATATAGGTTTGTATTAGTGATGTCATGTGCAGAGGAGGCTCTTTTTGGCGCAAATATGTCTTTTGTCTCTACCTGAGGTAGAAAACCTGGGAAGTGCATATTAAGGAGCACTCCTGATGTGCCAACAGCTGTTTCTGTCTCAGTAGACCTCTTGGTAAGTTGATGGTGCGTACCTGGGGTGTTGGTGCAACATCTGGAAGGCCCACCTGCTATGTGAACACAAGGTTCTCCAGCAGCTACCTGTCTGCACGTACATCACAATCAGCAAGGACCACAGTCTGTATGAACTTCATTGCTAGTGAAGACATGACGTGTACATATGTTTCTTAAACCCTAACAGATTGCACCAACTCTAATCCTAGTTCTTCCTGCTTTGTGTCACACCAGTCATTAATGTAAGCATACCCAATAAGAAGTGAGAATACTACCAATTTTTTTTATAGCCACTCAACAATTTGAGAAGTGAACCTTTTAGAGAAATTAATTCCTATAGCTATGTAACAATCAGTTTAAGATAAGAACGTAACATTATTAATCCAAAAGGCTTTATTATGGCTTCTGTTAATTTACATGAACAAGTATATCTCAGATAATACAAAAATGCACAGGAAATACATTTGCTTTACCTACTTGGAGTAACTTATTTACAAGTACAGGTCAACCTACTGTTCTTACAATATTTTGTGTGTCGGTATCGTTATCAAACTAGCTGTTTCAAAAATGTAGAGGATCAGTATTTTGTTCAAAATTTAAAGTCACAATAAACAATTCTAAAATGAAGTTTAAAATACAGTTTTAGGGCTGCTGTTTACAGAAAGTTCAAAAAGTGTGAAAATTACATTAATAAAGCCATGATAATTTTGGCATGTTTGTGGAACACTTGTGGACTGCAACAACAGCTGGATGTGCAAGTAGGTGGTGTAATTCCTGTGTTCTTTGCTGGTGTCTCACAAGCCAGATCTTAATGCACTACAATACCTTAAATTAAAAATGTGTGTGCACTCGCCCTGAAATAAGGTAGTTCTATCTCATAACAAATGTGTATGGATTTTAACATGTGGGGCACGACAGAAGAGATCATAAATACAGCCTAATTTAATTTGAGCTCTGTCTGATTGGCTCCTGGCTTTGACAGTGTTGGCCAGGTAAAGTCTTTTGATTTCTTCCTGGCTGCGAGTCAGCCATCTCCTCAGGCTTTCGGTGTTTAATTACCTTGTCTGTGAAATGAACGGAAAGATCATAGTCACTTCATATTGCTTAGAGAAAGCCATATATTTCCATGCTAGATTCAATAATAGAATACAATAAATAAATAAATAAATAGCTGCTTTTTATTCTTCTTCTTCAGGATATGTCAGCTCGAGGATCATCTTCACAGCTTCCTAAACCTTTTGATCCTGAGCCAGTAGCTAAATATGGCACACTGGATGTGACTTTTGACTATGACTCGCAGGAACAGAAGCTTTTGGTGACAGTGACAGCTGTCACAGACATTCCCACATACAGCAGGACAGGTGGAAGCTCGTGGCAAGTACACCTAGTTCTTCTCCCTATAAAGAAACAGAGAGCAAAAACCAGCATCCAGCGGGGACCGTGCCCTGTCTTCACAGAGACATTCAAATTTAATCACGTCGAGTCTGAGATGATTGGGAATTATGCAGTTCGCTTTAGACTGTACAGCGTACGTCGCATGAAAAAAGAGAGGATTGTGGGAGAAAAGATTTTTTACTTAACAAAATTGAATCTTCAAGGGAAGATGTCAGTGCCAGTGATACTGGAACCGTCTTACAGTCTGTCTGTGAGTATTAAATGAGGCAGAATAAGAATGCAGTGATACAGTGTCCTGAATTTTGTAAGAATAGCGTGTGTATTTATAGAGTCATCACATCCACTTGATTTTAACAGTCACAGCACAATGATAATTTGCTTAGAGTTTCTCTAAGTACATTCACTTACCACCTGCAAAAGTTGCCCATATTTTTCCTTTTAATTACTTAGAAATTTCCAGTTTATATATAAATAGGGATGTAGTGGTGAATATGTGTATATATACACATACAAATACATATATGTATTTAAAAGTATCATCTTTACCCTGCTACCCACAGCATTTCAATTAAAAAGAAAAAAAAAAAAAGGTAGAGAAAAAACTATGCTAGCAAGTGCCCTCCATGTGTTGCAATTAAATCTTGGTTGCAATGGGTATTTTCCTTTCAAGAAAGAAAGGAAACAAAGAATTTTGAGAGCACAAAGCCATTTTTAATAACTTCAGCTTAGAATCTTGTAAATAATTGATTTCTGGTTCAGTCTGAAGTGAAATATAGGGTGAAAAGTAGTTCACACTAAAAAGGATTTTTGTTTACTGGAAAAAACCCTACCTATGTGATGAACAAAACTTTTTGTCCCCCAAAATAACTTCAACGTTTTTAATAAAGCAAATTAACGGTAATGAAGGGTAAACTTCTGGGGTTTTTTGATAGCAATACTGGAGAGCACTGTATGGACAGTGATCAATATCTCATTTTTCTTTTTAGCAAATATTTAAGTGTGCTTTTGCCCAGAAAGAAAATGCATGTGGTGATGTGGTCAGAGCTTCCTAGACTAGGAGTGCTTGAATGTTCATTGCTGAAGAGCTGCCTATATGCTAAATAATGGCCTTTTGGGGAAAGAGAAGGTGATTTAGCAACAGCATCCTTACTTGGACATTGTGTATTTTCTGTGGGTGTTGGGGTTTGGTTTTTGGGGTTTTTTTTTGTGTTGTGGGTTTTTTTTTTTTTAATGTCAATAAAAGAAAAAAATATGAGAAAGGAAAGAAAGGAAGAGACTTTTTTCCGGTGAAACAATCCAGTTAACGTGTTCTACATTTTCAAAAAAAGTTTGGATCAATTGAAAAGGCATTTCTGTTGAACGTATTACAAAAGACACTATATGCCATTGTATTTAATGACTGAAAAATATATTAATTAGAATTAGTAAAAGCTGAGACTAAAACTTGGATCTGGTGGAGGTTCAACTGACAATAGAACAGCTTTTTTTATGATTCCTTAAGAAGTACAAATTGGTCTGTTCGGAGGATGAAGCGGTTCACTTAACTCTTTACTAATGCAGTTTGCTAGTTTCACAGCTAGGAAGAAAGCACCCCAAGAAACAAAACATGGAATATCCTAAATGTATCTGCTAAATTGCTTCTGGTATAGAAATTACCAGAGTTGATGAAAGAGGCTGATGAATGGGCCAGGCTTTTGATTGATCGGTATATCCCGTATGTGCATTGGTTATTCTTCTGTATTATTTTCTTGAGCTTTTGTGGCAAGGAGAGTAAAAGCAAATCTCAGAAGACATCAAAGATAAGATTGTTATTTATTTTCTGTGATGGTAAGTTATGCCATATCTGCATTTTACTCTCCTTATTTCTGGGGGAAGTAACAAGAATAAAAAATATTGGTAGCAAGTGAAACTAGCTTCTAAAGTCTGTTATTGTCATGGGATTTAGGCAGATTGATTTTAGTCCTAACTCTTGCTGGTAAAATCTTAGTCTTGATAGCTTGAATGAGGACCCATTGGTTTCGGGGTGGTTTTTTTTTTTGGAACTACACCAACTGTTTTGTAAACCTTTGGAAATTCATTCACATCTGAGTATTTTTCCATTATTTGTAGCCTATATCTTTTTTTTTTTTTTTTGAATGGGTAGATCTATTGCAGGAATTAACATATAGTTATTTTGCAAGAGTGTTAAAGCTCAGAGAAGCTGTTGATGCCCCATCCCTGGAAGTGTTCAAGGCCAGGCTGGATGAGGCTTTGAGCAACCTGGTCTAGTGGAAGGTGTCCCTGCCCATGGCAGGGGGGTTGGAACTAGATGGTCTGTAAGGGCCCTTCCAACCCAAACCATTCTGTGATTCTTACTGTGTTTTTAGGATGTATGACTGGACAGGGGCAGCATCCTGGATCACTTGAGTTCAAGCCCTTGTTATTGCAGACAGTCAGGTCATCCTGGTCAGAAATTTGTGATTTTTTTTCATCTGCAAACAGCAGGTTGTTTCATTTCCAACCTGAATTTCTTTATGACCAATTTATAACCATTTGTTCTTATTCCAGTGTCGTCCTTGAGCTTTATTAGTTCTTACCCTTCTTAGGTGTTTGCCTCTGGGTCTGTTTATGTGCTTTGGTTGTATTCCTTCTCACCTGTCCTTTTGCTAGAATAAACCAACAACAATCTTTATGTCCAACTAATCATGTATATCAGGCAGAAGTTATTTAACAGGAGAAGGTAAATGTTGTTTCATGGAGAGATCCAGCTCTTGAGGGTTCTTTGCAATTATAAAATCCACAATGAAGTACATTGTAATTTCTGAATTACATTTGCCTTTTTCATTTGCAGTTTTTTGTTGCTGTGAATTGTTTATGTTTGACAGCTTTTTTTACTAATATATTTTTTGGACACATGACAGTTGCCCTATTTTTCCCACTGCTTCTCATTATATGGATTTTATATCTTAAATATACCTTCTGTCACTGAAACTTCCTAATCCATTGAAACATCTATGCTAATCTCTTCTGCAGAAATGTATTTTATTTGCTTCTGTCTGTGCCTGATATTATACTAATGTATTTTATTAGCTAACCTTCTGAGTGTATAAGAACAGTATATATCCTGTGAAGTTTAGTATTTTTTTCAGTTATACCTTAATAGTTAAACCCTTTTCACAAGGGAATCTGGTTAAAGGTAGTCCAGCAAGTTCAGTGCCTTTGAAACACAGCGGCATGCTCACTTGAGTAGGGCCTCCAGCTCTCTGGTTATTGTTAAAATGTGGACAAGGGCATGTCATGGTAAGTATGTGATCCTAGTATGTTCCTTAACTAGGTTTTAAAGCTACACATGGCTTCAAATTTACAAATATTCACAAACTATCTTCCTGACCCAAGATTTCACCCCGCTCCTCGCCTTCCTACACTGTCTTGCTTTAGCAGCATTTTCCACAGTCATATTGCTGTTTGTCTTTAACAGTCCTGTGTTGCTGCAGTTCTCCCACGTATATGTTCCTAGTTAAGGAAAGCTACACATGGCTTCAAATTTACAAATATTCACAAACTATCTTCCTGACCCAAGATTTCACCCTGCTCCTCGCCTTCCTACACTGTCTTGCTTTAGCAGCTATTTTCCACAGTCATATTGCTGTTTGTCTTTAACAGTCCTGTGTTGCTGCAGTTCTCCCACGTAACAGGGAATTCCTCCTCATGCAGTATCCTCATCCCCCTTGTTTATCACACCCTTCCTTCCAAGTTCAGCGTAGGTTTGAGTGAGGAAGAAGCAGCAGAACCAATATGGGCTCACCAGAGTGCGGTTGTCACTGTTACCCAAGACTGCCCTTTCAGATGTTATAGAAAGTGGGTATTACATCAAAAGTTAATAGCAGGGCTGCACACTATGTTTTTTGTCTTGAGTATAGTTTGCTTAAGAAGACCTTTGTTGATCTTTTTAAAGAAATTTTCCTTTTAGTCTGCAATGGTAGACAAGTTTTTGTTCACCCACCTTGGAGTTTAGAATATATTGTGACATTGTTTATTTTTCTTCAAGAAATCCCTGCGGACCTGTTCTTAGTTGCTCTTCATTCTTTTTAGCCAAAGAAGTTTTCCTGATAGTGAACAACGCCCTCCAGTATGATGTGATTATGAAAACATACAAGCAGTTCATTGAGTGAAATGAACAGTACAGTTTTGGACAAGTGAAACATACCTCTTCCTGCTCAATAGATCTAGTAATCATTCATTATGTGCTGTTAATAACAACATGTTTGCTGTGGAGAATTAACTTTTTTCTTTTTCCACAACATTCTCCATTTCTAATATCGAACTTCCAGATGTGTGCCCTATAACAAAGAAAGGATGGTGTAGGGAGTCATACATGCCTACAGGACTATTTTGTAGATCTCTACTATAAATATCCAGTGTCCAAGAATTATTTTAATTACAATTTTTTGGGGTGAAGGCATTAATGCATACAGTGCATAAAAAGTGCTTGCTCTTGCACACGCACATGCGTGCTCTCTGCACTTCGAGGACATTGGTTAATCGTCTAGTTCACATTTGGTTTATGCATTGTGCCTAAGGCATTTGTTCCGTGTCGCCCTTCGTGTGGCATATCTTCAGTATTCTTTCTAATGGATGTTTATCAGTTCATAAACTTCTCAGAAACAAAGAAATACCAATTTGGTATTTCTTTCTATATTGGTCACTGATTGAACAAGCCCTTCGAGTGAGCTATCCAGAAATACTAGAACATTTCCTTATCCTGTACAGAAATTGGTATCCAGTTATTTGGATTAACTTTCTAATGGATGTTTATCAGTTCATAAACTTCTCAGAAACAAAGAAATACCAATTTGGTATTTCTTTCTTGGGAATTCTTGGCCATAATATAGTTGAGCTGTCAGGTTCTGTGTAATTCCTAATATTTTAGGTCTGTTAGGGACTTTACTACAGTGCTTTTATGACATGGGCTATTCAGAATCATATTTGGAAGGATAAATAGTAAAATTCATAACTACTAACCTCTAGTTTGATACTTTAAAAGTGCTAACAAATTACTGGGACTTATCTAGGGGGAAAAAAAATCAAAAAGATTTTGTTCAAGGTATTTTATATAAGTAGAATTCTGCCTAAAAGGATCAATTCCTATGTGATGGTGCATAAAAGCTTTCAGTTAGCTTGTAAAAATTATGTCCATCAAAGTAAGGGGCAATTATCTTTAAAAACTGAACACATTCTTATCGTGGGAATAGCGTGCCAAATTCATTTGACTTAGTGGTGTAAAAT